ATTTCATTTTGTTTAGATTGGTGTCCTAAAGGTTTAAGTATTCATTTTGTTTAGATGGTGTCCTAAAGGCTTTAAGTATTCATTTGTTGAGATGGTGTCCAAAGGTTTAAGTATTCATTTTGTTTAGATGGTGTCCAAAGTTTTAAGTATTCATTTTGTTTAGATGGTGTCCAAAGGTTTAAGTATTCGTTTTGTTTAGATGGTGTCCAAAGGTTTAAGTATTCATTTTGTTTAGATGGTGTCCAAAGGTTTAAGTATTCATTTTGTTTAGATGGTGTCCAAAGGTTTAAGTATTTGTTTTGGTCAGATTGTGAAGAAAGGTTTAATTATTCATATGGTGTAGGTGGTGTCTGAAGGTTTAAGTATTCATTTTGTTGAGATGATGTCTGAAGGTTTAAGTATTAATTTTGCTCAGATGATGTCTGAAGGTTTCTCTCTTTCTAGGTGCCATATCCAGTTTGAAAGCTGGCAATCATGGTTCTCCATAGGTTCCTGTCTTTTGTACATTTTAAAATCTCAGTCACACTGACATTCATCCATTTGCCTATGCTACTGATGTAGTTTAACCTTGGTCTTACTTAACTTTTTTTTACCCTCTATTTTTTAAGTAATTACTACATTTTCAAGTTCTTCTTTTCTCTTTACATGTCCTAGGAAACTCAGTTGTCTTTCTCTGATGGCTATGATCAGCTTCCTCTGTGTCTACTCTTCTCAGTACTTTCTCATTGGTTATATGGTCTGTGGCTTCAAGTTGCTTTTCCATGCTAGGCAAGATGGTCCAACACTCACTGCCAACACAACACTGCAGTATTCTGTTTTTTGTAGCCATAGTTATGCTTTGATTTTTTAATATTTTCCCTAATTTTTGAAAGGCTGTTTTTACCATAGCTATACACATTTTGATTTCTGTATCACTTCTTCTACCTGGTGTTATAATAATACCTAGGTATTTTCCACCTGTTTGATTAATAACTTTCCAATATAAACTTCACATTTTGAAATAGCACTCTTTTTCTGATGACTATACATTCTGTTTTGTTAATGATAACTGAAAGTCCTTTATGGTTACTTGCCACCATGTTTAGTAGTTTTATAAATCCTTTTGTGAGCTATCACTTTACACTGCATCATATGCATATCTCAAATTATTCAGAATATAGTCTCCTGTTATGAATAAAAGTAACCTTTGAGATTATTGTGATGATGTGAACAAAGGTAAGTTTCCAGTTGTAATTTCCTTTAAAGGACTTGGATGCATGTTTTGAGCTTGGGATCTTCAGATACAAGTTAGCAATTCCCCATACTGGCACTATAACAACAGTAGGAGTTCTGATAAAAGGAAGTGAATTGTTTAGTATCTTTATGATATTTTTTTTAAATGAGCCTGGTACAGTAAACAACAATTTGGATTAGTCTTTTTTTGTTTGTTTGCTATAAAGCACAAAGCCACACAATGTTATTTGTGCTGTGCCCATCATGAGCAAGGTCCAATGATGAACAGAATCCCCATACAAAAGAATCTTTTGATTCACGAGCTGAGGACTGAAATCAACGTTTTTTGTTTGAAAATAGCTAATGTTAAGGCTTTAAGATGTAGTATTTAAAACCTTCTGTGGTAGCTTCTTTTACCTTGCTTCTGCAGAAGAACTGAACATCCTGCCAGTAGCATTGTGCTGGAGTTGATAAACAGCTTAACTTTCTTTAGGCCTTTCTTCAAATCCAGACTAAGTATGATCTAATTCAGATGGTTTTGGCTAGTATTTTTATTTATTTTTTATCATTTCATATATTTATTGTTTTTAAAATCCATCTGGCAGGGATCAAACTCAGAATTATTAGTTTTAAATTTTAACTGGGCATATTCTAGATCCAGTTCAGATATTTAGCTTTAGTTAGCTTCTCCTTAATACTCTCAGGACCTAAAGGTCAGAAGTATTTCCTTAGACTTAACATTCAACAATCTTTACAGGTTTCTCAGGTATAGCATTTTGTTCATTAACATTTTAATTATCACTACTAAATCTGATATACAGTTTTGATAACAAGATGAGAATCAGATCTGCAACATCTCTTGAACCTAGTGGTTTTTGAAAGCGAGTTTATAGGTTTATCCGTCACCATGAGAAGACCAATGAATGTCTATATCTAAGAAAAGTATCTCGTCTTTAGTTTTAATTACCTTAAAGTTACAGTTCAGAATTATCACTAATGTTAAAATAAGCTCAGAAAAATCTTGGTATACATGTTCAAGCATCAGTTTGATATAGATTAACCTATTGGGAAGATTGGTCCTATTGTTAACCAACTTAAGCCTAGGTGTACAACATTAGAATATATAAATTTCAAGGGCAAATTTGCATAAGGTCCTGCTCCAGGAAGACTTCCCGGCAGTAAGAGGGTATCTTTATACTCTGTTTGCCAGTGCATACCCACTTTAAAAATGGCAACCCTGTTCTAGTCAGCTACATGTTTGGGCAAACAGGGATAGAAACAGGAGTTCTAAACAGTGAGTAATTAATGTATTCCTAAAGACAATAAGTAAAAAGCCATCAGATTCTGGATTCTTACTATGTTGATATTGAGGTTTCATATTTGCACGTATTATTTATGCCATTACAAAATCCTCGTAATACTAACTCAAATCACTTTTACACATTTGTTCTTTAATTTTCGAACCTTTTAATTCAGTTTCCTGTCAAAATAAAGAAATCTAGTCAGGCGGATGTCCATAGTTCCAAATATAGTGAAGTTACCTGAATAAATGAACTTTGGTCTGGAGAACAAGTCATCATACAAAACACACTAGCCAAGTTGTTAAAACAAGATGGACAACGCCGAAGCATAAGAGCTAGAGGACCATTCAGCTGACTACCTAGAGAACTCAACTGATGGTCACTGCAGCATACAGGACTTCCGGCATCTAGGAAAAAAGTACCATTAGTTTAAAAAACTAACTCAGAAACGTAAGTGCTTTACATTTTAAAACTCCTCTCTGATATTCAAGAACTTATTTTACGAAGGTATTAAAATTATAGATAACACATTATACCAATCCTAAACCTAATAAATATGGTAGAGGGAACTTAAGTTGTTTTTAGTTCAACAATTTATTTAGGGATAAATATACTGTTATTATAAATGGTGAGGCATATTCTATAAGCTGTATATTTGTGAGGCATATTCCATATTTATAAAGACACATGGTTGTGTTATGTGACCAAAACAACCTGCTGCAGGACACATTGTGTTATTAAGAAGAGTGATAGTTTAGCGATTTTCCACCTTCTGTATCTCGGACTGTGGTAATCCAAATTATCACATATTATGGATGTGCTCTACTGGATTCTTACTTCACATACCAAATTTCAAGACAATCTATTATGAAATACCCGAGATATAACATCTCCAATTTTGATCGAGTTCCTCTATTTCTTTTCTGCGCACCAAAAGTGCAGAAACTTTATTTGATAGAAGAACATATTTAAATTTTATGGCTTTTTTTCAACTTTCACACACTGATAGATCTTTTCAACCTACAATCAGGAGTATCATTTGGTGTAAATATAAGACATGTGCAAAGTTATTCAACAAAAACATCTCAAATTTGATGAAAATTTTTACACACACCTACACAAAAAGTCACATGAGCTACTGATCTAACATTTTTACTACAGCTTCACTTAAGAGTACAAGTGGACCTTTTTAGTTTTTGTCATTCAGAATAAAGATAGCTGATTTAGAGCAGCAAAACTATAAGGTAAAAGGACATGTAGATACATAACTATTAGTTAGGCCAAGCAAACTAGATTAGCAGATTCTAACTCAAGTTTTCAAAATAATCATATGGGTAGATGGTTATTATTGATTATTCATTGCCAACTTTTAAGTACAAATTAATTAAATTTTATGAAATTATCCTAATTAAAGAGCATTTGACATAACATGATAGATGCTTAAGCAACTACAATAAATAATGATGCTTGATACGGCTGTACCAATTGCATGGGGGTGATGACAAGAAACCGCCTTATCAACACAGGTCACGGGTCAAAGGCCATGTCATCATATTTGTTGATTTGTATTCAAAGTTTTATTGAACTACTATTTTATGAATTTATGTTCAATAAGTTTGGTATCAAATAGTAGATTATATTTCAAATTTTAATCTTGTTGCTTTAGTTAATTTCTTAATTTAAAAGTAAATATCAAAAAACACCTAAATATTGATTTTTGTGTGTCATGTAGTATGCTGAATGCAGCATTGGTTCAAATTAGATGTTTTTGATGAACAAATAAAAAGTATATAGTTTCTTACAAGTTAGGAACTCAAATTACCGATATTTACAAGTTAGAATATAAAATAAGAACCTCCTATCTTTTCTATATACTGAGATATCGCTAAATTTACTGAATCAAACACAGTGGCCCAGCCCACCTCTTTCCATTTTTGGAAACACTTCTGTCTATGATATGTGAATAACCAATTTAAAGCTCAGAATGTCCTCCTAGTGGCTTTTTCAGCCTCTTTGAAGTAGTCAGGCAGCAAACTATTTCTTTTCATGCTAGATTCCAAGTGGTAAGGTAAGACATTAGTTAACTCGAAATTTCAATTTTTTTTAGACCCAAATACAGCTTAGTTATTAAACTTTATAAATTATAGTGGAATTCTGTGATATTGATATAGTAATTTATGATTTTTGGTTATTTCAAAATATATATATATAAAACTAAAAAAAATTATTTCGTTTCACATCGTTCCACGTGCAAAATTTGATAAGGCTTAGCAACCTACAGCAAGCAGCAAACGAGTACAAAGTTTGTAACTAGAAGAGTAATTGTTTGCTTTACTTCTTTATTTACTGTTCTATGGTTTAAGAAAAATAAGTTTAAGAACTTATTTCAAAATAGCAATAATCAATATACAAATACAATGTATTATAACTGAAGTATGAATGTATTTTACAAAATACTAGTCCACTAAAACACAGCTAAGACAGGTCACTTGTAAAGGCCAGTTTGATATTATTGGATACAGTAACATGTGTGCACATGTGCTGCGTCATTGCAACTTCTGCAAAGTTAGCCAGACATGGCTGGAAGGTCAAGATGATAAAAATAATAAATATATATATAAATGTATAATGTTATGAGATTAAAGCTATTTAGACTAAACATTTGTGTTTTCGTGTTATAATCTGTAGTCATTCAAGAACAAAAAGAACATAGAAAGTTATGGAATATATTTTTAGTCATTTGTGTGGTTATGGTACAAAACATAGTTTTACACTAAAAAATAAAATGTTCATTACACTGGCCAACAAGTCATTTTCATCAGATATAATTAGAGGTGGGTTTGATAGCTCTTGGGTCCCTGATTCCAAATCTGTCTTTGGTTTTCTTAGTACGTCAAGTTTTCGTCATGAAACCGATCAAATTTGAAAGGTTATTGCCTTAATTATAATTTAAGTTGTTGTACATTTATTTTTTCATAAGTGTGTACTGTATAAATTTAACCAAGTGTATGGTGTGTATAACGTTTATACTGAAAAATGAATAAAGTTGTAATGTTAACTAGCCTAATGTGTGATTATTACCTAATTTGTGCTGAAATTAACACCAGTCATATTTTGATAACTAGATGTGCTAGAAGAAAACTGAAAACAGCGTGTAAAACTGGTCAAGAAAATTGATGTGAGAGAAAAGTTTGACAGTATTATTAAACTTTACTATATAACATGTATTAAAGTTAAACTTCAATATGTGAAATTATTAAGATAGTAAACTAAATAACTATAACTTAGGTGGATTTTTGCAATGAATGAAAGCAAAATAAAGATAATCACTGCAATATCGATAGACCAAGCAGATTGTTTCAGAATAGGTCTAATCTGCTCCTCACTACAACACTGTACAATGTTAAGCAAAGGTCTTTTGACATTCCTAACCTAACTCCACTATTGTTTGTACTAGGAAATGGGGGATATATTTATTTACTTTCACAGTAACGCGTACAAGAAACAATCATATGATATAAACAACCACTTGATAGTATTGCCTGAACTAACTGCCTTTGGTCCCGTCTGAATCTTAAACACACACACACACACACACTGATTGGTTGAATTGAAGAAAAATAAAATGCCACAAAATTAGTAACCTGAGCAACTGCAGAGCTTCATTCCTGAAAAAACAAGAAGTGGTGAATCTGCCATTAAAGTTCGATTCTGGTCTCAAAGAACACAAAAATAGTTCCACACTTCCAAGAGTCCAGAACCATTTTAGATTTGAGTTCTATTTAGCACATTGCTACTCATAAATAAAATGGGAAAAAATACTAGGCACCATGATGAAATTTTTAGTCGCCATGGCAACCTGGCACCCAAGATTTGTTGAGGCCTACAGTAAGTTATATATTAGATGGACTCAAAATCAACCTCAATATCAACAATACCTGTGACTTAAACCCTTAATACTACAAGTTTATCTAAATATAATTATAATACTTTATTAGAAATTCCTAAGATAACTATAGAGATAATGACAAAAAATTTCTATACAGAAAATTACAAACAAATATCTTTAACAGCTAACTGCATCAAACCTGTGTTAAAAGCCTTGCTGCAAAGTTGTTGGAGTAATTTTATGCTTGTCTCATTCGTAAGAGGCTTAGCAGGAACAAAGTTGGCACAAGGAGCTTCCAGACCAGTCAGTGGGTCAACACCACATTCTGTGTTCATCACACATTCTCCTACTACCTGAAATAACAAACATAAAAACAATGAACTGACGTTCTCATACTACCTGAAATAACAAAAATAAAAACAATTAACTCACATTCTCATACTACCTGAAATAACAAACATAAAAACAATGAACTGACGTTCTCATACTACCTGAAATAACAAAAATAAAAACAATTAACTCACATTCTCATACTACCTGAAATAACAAACATAAAAACAATGAACTGACGT